GCAAAAGCAAGAAAACTCATGGGTTGAGATAAAAACAGTTTAATACTTGAAATAATAATAATAATAGTAGTAATAATAATAATAATAGTAATTGTAATGGAAAGTAAAAAAACAAGGGGGGGGAAGGAGAGGAAAAAAAAAAATTGATGCACCTGCTCACCACTCACCAACCAATGCCCAGTCACTCCCCGAGCAGCGATCGCTGTCCCCCGGCCAACTCCCCCCAGCTTATACTGAGCATGACATCACATGGTATGGAATGTCCCTCTGGCCAGTTTGGGTCAGCTGTCCTGGCTGTGCCCCCTCCCAGCTTCTTGTGCATCTCCTCGCTGGCAGAGCACGGGAAGCTGAAAAGTCCTTGACTTAGTATAAACGCTGCTTAGCAACAACTAAAACATCAGTGTGTTATCAACATTATTCTCACGCTAAATCCAAAACACAGCACTGTACCAGCTACTAGGAAGAAAATTAACTCCATCCCAGCCGAAACCAGGACAGTTAATTTGATTTTTTTTCCCTCTTTCTCTCCTTTGAATAATGTCATATTTCACAACTTTTGCTACCCATATTTACCAACCCTTATTGTCTCTATCTGTATCTTAAGCTTTGCCTTGCACCAGAGGAAACTCTAGAAAACAAAGGAGCAGACACAGGAAGTCTTTCACATCTTGAAAAGAAGGGATTCTTGGCTATCTTCTAGCAAGGAAATTCATTTGGACCTTGAATGCTCAATCCAGATCTGTTCCTGGCTCATATCTCTAAGAGTTAACCTTGTTCTCTTCTTTTTATGCTTATTGTAGAGGGAGGTACTTTGTGATTGATGTGGTCAGCTTAGATGGCATTTCAGTCAGGATGCTTCCATTTACTAACATTTTGGGGTTTGTCTGATTTTTATTTTTTTTCCCCCCTCATTTAGAATCTGCTACCAGCCCCACTGGTACTCCCCAGTATTCATGAACTGGATCTCTTCAGGTGAGAGCCGCCATCCCCGCAACCCTCTCCTTTCCATCTGCTTTTTCTGCTCATAGTACCCTATAAATCATAGGTATAGTGAAGATGTCAAATGAGGAATCAAAAGTTAAATTACTGCTTTGCAGAGTGTCATTTAGAATACTGGGCTTGCAGAGCTTGTGCAGTGTTTAAACCATGTGCACTGCCCTTAACACACCCCCTGTATCCTGGTTAGAGGGGGGTTTCTTTTCTTGACCTCAGCTGGTGATCAGCTTAAGCTCTGAAGCATACATGTTGTGTGTCTGAACCAAACTTTTCAGCATTATAGGTGCTATTCTAATAGACGTACATCTGCTGTAATCCACGTGCGTTTTACTTTGCTTATGTCGTGGTTTAACCTCAGTCCCAGCCGAAACCAGGACAGCTTAGAGGAAAAGACATACTGAGAGCAATATGATCAGCAGGTTGCTTTACATTGCTGAAAGCATTTCCTTTAAACACGTATAAAATGGTTGAGCAACAGCATGTGTAAAGACACATGGCATTCTGTTGTGGGATACTAAAAATCAGTCCTAGATTTCAAATTCCCGGATAGAAGCACATCTGGATAGGCTTATACACGATAACTGTCTGGTCTTTTCTGAACTGCATCTCTAACCTCATTCTCCCTTTCGCTAGCAGGTGTTTCCAGCCAGTGCTAATTCACATCCAGATGTTATGGGAGCTGATGTTACTGGGAGAGCCAATTGTTGTAATGGCACCATCCCCTACAGTTTCTTCAGAAATGGTTCTGGCACTTACCAGGTAATGCCTTCAAATTCTGAGATACAGGTAACTATAATAATAAATTCTGGCAGTGTTTCTCTTTCAGATCCACTCTTCTGCCAAGTCAATTGTTTTAGGTTTAGTTTGCCTGTGAAAGCATGTAAGACAAATAGCATAGCAAAAGAGTCTTACTCATATTCCACCAATGGTAGAGAAGAGTAAAAGTGAATCTCCTGTGTTGGGAGACCTGATGGTTCATAGCCCCGAGGAACTTTGTCTCCCCAGCTTTGAACTCTGCTTTAGCAAAAAAAAAAAGCCTGAAACTCCTCCAGAGTGTTACCTCTGGCAGGACAAAACACTGCTCTAGGACATAAACCTGGTGTAAACACACATTCCTCCTCTGTGAGGTTTATATGGCAACTATTCCGTTTATTGTTACAGCTGCCTTGCTCCTCTGAGGTACTGTTGTGACTACCGCCCCTATTTTACTATCCACGACAGTGAATTTAAAGAGTATACCACCAGGACACAAGCTCCGTAAGTAGCCAGTAGACCCTTGCTACCCACTTCCCACTGTCTGTGTGAAGGAAACCCTGAGATTAGCATTGTTCTGCTTTTTGCCCCTTCTTTCTAGGCCAAACATTGTTGTGGGAGTCACAAACCCTTTCTTTATCAAAACTCTTCAGCACTGGCCACACATTCTTCGGGTTGGGGAGCTCAGAATGTCAGGTAAGGGTGGAAGCAAAGTCCTGTTGTTCTGATAGACCTTGTTAGAGGCTAGTAGTGAGCTGACAGTTGCAGTGCTAGCCATCATTTTACACATCTTCATTCCTGTGGGAGCTGAGAAACCAAAGGGAAGTCTAGACTGTGACTCAGTTGATGTGCAGGATGAGCGCACACAATGGTGAAGACAAATCGTTGAGAGGATAACTTGCTATGTTTTTTTTCTGAAACATTAAGAAAAGGAGAAGTCCTTCCTGGGCAGGATAGAGAAAATTGCATAAAGAAGAACAGAGAGGTGGAGAGAGAGACCCTGATTATTATCTATGAAGCCAAGAAAACCTCTAGTTTGAGGAGTGGGGTTTTTTGCAATGCCTCCTTAACACGTTCCTGTTCTGAAATTTTAGCAGGAAAATTAGCAGATGAGAAGGCTTATGTGAGGGTGGAGTTAAGGGAGGATGTGATTTAAGGTGTACGAGTGTAGGACTGGATGTTCTCGAGTGCGAAGTCTCTCATGTGCGTGCTGTGGCTGTGAGGGTAGATTCAGAGCCTGAACTAGTCATCTGACGTCTTTCCACAGGAGACCTGCCCAAGCAAGTTAAGGTGAAGAAGCTAGCTAAACTAAAAACTCTAGACACAAAACCAGGTAAGTCCTTTTGTCAGACATCATTTAATTCTGTTTACCCTTCCACGTGGGGAATTTTGCAGGATTTGCAGGCATGTGAACATTGCATACGTTATTCTTTGTATCTCAACAAATGGACGTTTTGGTGTTACCATCTTCTCATACTCGATGTGCTACACAGTTCTCTGTAGTGGCATCCCCCATCTAATACAGGAAAACTGTACATCTTTGTTCTGAGATTGAAAAAAACAGTTGAACAAATTATTTTAGTGTCGGGAGAACTTCTCATTTTCTTGATTTTATTTTATATATCATATCTGCTTTTTAGATGCAATGGAAGTCAAAGGAACTTGCTTACCTAGATACAGCCATCTGTCACTTAACTAACTGTTCCGCTCAGGCCTAGCCATAAGCTGACTCCAGTAAGTTATCTCACCATAAGCTTAGCATAAGAAGGTCCTTGAGGTAGTTCGGTGTCCTTTAATCCTGCTGTGAACACTGGCTGCATTAGCAATTTTGTAATTTTTTAAATTATTTTTTAATAATTTTTGTAATTATACACACACAGCTGCCAGGGTTTGTGCTAGGAATTTCAGTTCCGTTATCCCTGCGCTACATAATAATATATAATCTAGAGCCTCCTCTAGATACGTGGACAAAGTTTTGTTTTAACTTCTGTTTTTTTCTGGTTGTTTTTTTTTTTTTTCAATCCAGGAATCTATACTTCTTATAAAACATTTCTTCACAAAGACAAAACCCTGATAAAAAGATTACTAAAGGTAAGCAATTTCCACTCTATCCTACATCCTGTATGTCATTATGGGAAAACCGTGCTAACAGCTTGGTTTAAACATACAAAACTCTCCAAAAGGAACAGACTTTTTACAGCGTGTAATGATTTAGTCAAGTATGCTTGGACACGTTTATCATGCCAGTATTAAAATTTTTCGCTTAATGTTATGGATTAAATGCTGGCACTAATGATAACCTACGTGAGAACAATTGTTATCAAAAAAAGAGTCTGAAAAAACAGATTCTACGTAGAGAAATGTGAGCGATGGGTTTAACTAGAGAGTGGAATATGTGTTTTGGGCGGTACAGTTTTACAGACTACTCTGGACTGGTTGCTTATAGCTACGGCGTTTGCAAATTCTGCGTCTGTCTGTGTCATAGAGAATAGCACCTTTGTGAACGCGCTGCTTGTGCTTGCAGGGGATTCAGCGGAAACGCCCATCTGAAGTCCAAAGTGCCCTTTTGAGGCGTCACCTTCTGGAGCTCACCCAGAGCTTCATTATTCCCCTGGTGAGTTGAGCAGAGACTTGTCAGAGTGGTGTAAAGGTGAGGGGAGGTGAACAGGAGATGCTTGAGTGACAAGTTTGCACTTGCCCTCTTTTATTCACCCGTAGCTGAGCATCTGTAATAGGTTCAGGATGTGGCACTCTCTATAGAGATGTTCTACTCCATGGAAAGGAACTAAATGTCTCTTGAATGCAAATTTTAGTAATTAGCATAAAAGTCTGCAGGTTGGATATTCAGCACACTGTGTGTAAAGACAGAACATTGTTTCCTGCAATGTAGGAATAGGTGTTCCATGTTATTTGATTCTAATGCCAAGTCTTTGCTCTTTTCAACAGGTAGTCAAAGCAGATATATAGGGAAGGGACGGGAGCCCAAAACATTCCTCTTCCCCTCTAATGCTGGAATCAAACCCATTGCCAGTGTGAAACCCTCCCTTCTGGCTTTGGGAGGCTTTGCTGTAGAGCTTAAGAGGCCTGTCCACGTGGTGATCACCACCCTACGGCAGGTTTTACTGAATGCTTTCTTTCAAGGCCTTCCCTTGTCTAGTCCCACTAGAATACTGCTGGTGCTTTTTTGGTGACTGTCCAGTTGGCCAAGTTTGGCTCCTCCACTTTGTTTTCTACATCATCTTAGGAGGTAGTACACAGGAGGACAGAACATCTTCTCAGATTCTAGTCCCTCCTGCCAACTTCTTCCCACCTGACCTTTTCTCACATGGCAGGCTTAGGATTCTTGCAGCGTAGCTTTGTGACCTAGCCCCTGGTGGGAAACAAGCTGGAACACTTAGGCTCATGTAAAATGCAACTATGAAGAAAACCAGAGAGAGTAGGAGGCTGTTGATTGGGCCTATGATGCGTTGGAGAAGACCATCCCACTCAGTGACCACGCAAGAGGCTCCTCAATTGTTGTAACTTTAAAAAAAAATTTTTTTTTTAATTTCTTCTCAGGAGCATTATATTGCAAGTCTGATGCCTCTGCAGAGGGCCATTACTCCGTGGAAGGTAGGTTCGATTTTCCCATCGCTTCTGCTTTCCTATGACTGCGGGGATTGGGAATTGTTATGCCATATGCTGATCGTATACATGTATACTGATAATACACTGTGTGAACTTCCCTCATTGAAGGAAGAGGGTTAATACTCCTTTAAAAAAAAAAAACAAGTCGAAACAAACATTGGGACAGATGCTTCCTGTTTTGCAGTAAGCTCAGCTATTGTGAATCTAATTTGAATTTTACTAGCGAGGCTGGTTAAGATGTTCATGCATTTTTTTGTTCTCATAGTTACTGAGTCTGCCTGGTGCGGCCTCTTCCATTGCAAATACAGACCTCATTTTGCCCCGGTTTCTTTTGGGTGCCGTGTAATACGGCCTTTCTGTTGTGCAGAATCCTCCACAGATTCGTCCTTTCCGTCAGGAAGATTTCATGAAGACCCTTGAGCATGCTGGTCCCCAACTTACCTGTGTACTTAAGGGTGACTGGTTAGGCCTCTACAGGTAAGATTTTGGTAATTACTTGCCTTATCTCCTTAAAAGCTGGTGCAAGATATAATGAACATCAAATCCTGAATTGGAATTGGGAGCAAAAGGGGAGTTTCAGGACAGAGACTGGTCACCTGAAAAACTCATGCCTACGAAGAATTGATTAATAATGGTCAGGAAGAGCAAGTGCAGGGCAGACTCAATCCTGTGTTTTATGTGGTCTCTTGAATGAGTAGATACAGTCGGGTTTAGAACCTGTTGACTCTCCACCTTCAGGAACTTAAACTAAGTCCTCACTGCTGGAGAAGAAGGGGACTCATCTCTGACATCAGCTATGTCATTTATTGTCCTCCAGGGAATCTTTCTTTTTGAAGTGTCTGGTCCTGGGCAGACGGGGTATATAGTCTCGTAGGTCTTCATCCAGTAGTGGTTTTATGTGTTTGTACACCATTCAGGACAACGGCCATTTCATTTTTACTGCATGATGGCAATGCTGTTAGAACATAGAAGGTCGTAGTTTCTTCAGGGTAGAATTTAAGAGAGCATGCAGGAGAGTTTGTCCGTAGTTTTCGTAAAGGATAATTAGTTATAAATGGGATGGATAAGACACTTAATCACAATGTGAGTAGGAAAAATCCAGAAATCAGATACCCAGTGGGAAGGAAAATGGGAGGTGTATGGATACGGAGAAGGGAAAATATTCCAGAAAGTGAGCAGAGACAATAATCATGGATTAGTATGTTTTTTTGCTGTGATAAAGTTTGTACCGTTTTGTGCTTTAAGGTATTCAGCAGAAAACAAGCAATTCCACTCCTTATGGCGTAGGTGTGGCAGACAGTAAGATTTAATTTTGGATACCTAATATTTTGAAAAATAGTAACAAACAACAAGCTGTTTCAATAAATTGGTTGAGGTTTGCAGGCACATTCCAGGGTTCTTAACTGTGTGAGATCTTGTGCATACACTATTTCTTGTGTTCCTAAGTCAAACCCTTAATTAAAAAATAAGTCTGTCTGTATCACAGTGGCATCTTGAGATCTTGGCTGGGTTTAGGACTCCACTGTGCTGGGGAGAGCGCACGAGAGCAAGACTCCTTGAAGTTGCAAAAAGAAACTGTACGAACACCAGCTGAGTTCTGCTGGCAAAGTGCTCTCTGCAGGTAGCCTGAGGAAGTAGCTTGAAGAGATACTAAGTGGGCCACTCTCAATAGAGGAAAATGCTGAAATACAGCATCTGAGATACCCCTGCTGTTAATCAAAGGGTTGCAAAGAATGTGCTGCTAAAGTGGCTGTCACTCAGCTCTAGATGGCATCTTAAACTTTCTCATCTTTTTCTTTCTCTGCTGCCACAACCCTTGTCTTTCAGTTAGTGGCTTTTCAATCCCATTTTGAATTTGATCTAAAGTTCTGTAACACTCTGAGATAAAAACAGGTATTGTGCTGCCCTCTGTTCATTTTCCTGCGTAGCTCAGTAAAAACAGAGGTTTATTACTGTACTGCACTGGAGAGGTGTAAATTACACATCCTTTGACATAGCCTAGATGATACCTTGTTTGTGTAGGAGAGATGTAAATCACCAATTATATGGGACTTAGGTCCATGCTAGCAAATGGTTGACAGCTTTAAATATCAGGAAAGGAGAGGAATTAAGCAAGATACTGCAGAGGAATTTCTTCCCATGTTGAACCATCCCAGTTACCATAACTCCAAAGGAAAAGTGGGCTGCAGAAGGGCAAAGAGCACCGCTTCTTGCATTGGCTGAGGCTTGAGCTGATGCGAAGGAATCAGGATTGCCCCTCTCGTTGGTGACAATCTGCTAAAGCTGCTCAGCTGTATCGTGTTAATGCCTGACAGAAGAGAAGCCTCTGGAGTAGATGAGGTATGAAAAGAGCGTATCAGCTCATAATCGGTTACCATCACAATGACACTGTGAATCAGAATGTCTTTTCTTCTCACATCTGTGTCTGCTGCAGTAGGAAGGGAAATCTGTGTGCAACAGAGCCAGCGTGCTCCTCTGGGTCCCCCTCTGTCCCCTTCTCAGTGTCTCCTCTCTTTCTGCAGGCGTTTCTTCAAGTCTCCCAACTTTGATGGCTGGTACCGTCAGAGGCACAAGGAAATGACCCAGAAGCTGGAGGCCCTTCATTTGGAGGCAATCTGTGAAGCGGTATGTTCCAGCTGCAGGTATTAAAACCAACACCAGACTTCTCAGGCCTGAAACCTGGGAGATGAGGGCAGTGCTACCTTGGACACTTGTTGACACATCTTGATTCTGCACTGATGGATGGGGGACAGTGCTCTGTGCCCTTGGGAATCACAGCTCTGCCTCACGTCTGTCAGTGCACAGGAATAGCAGCACATGTGGGGGACAAGAACACGAGCAGCTCAGCCACCCTACTTTGTTAGCCAGTGCAGGTCCTGCTCTGGCTGCTTCTATCAACTATTTTTCATTCATCAGGCCCTTCCCAAGCCAACAGAGTGCCAGACTGGAAGCGTCATCTGTTGCTGGCTTCCTCAATGCCTAATGAAAATAGGTAGGATTTTTAGCAGTGACTGCTGGTACGGTTTCTTAAACTGAGCAGCTGGTAGCAGCTGGGGTAGTCCCAGGAGCTCTGGCATCCTACCCAGGTGCATCTTCAGCTGCAGCGCTTGCTTCACTGTTCAGCAGTGCAGGCCCTCGAGCATGGTGTGGGGAATGCCAAAGCTGTCTCCTTCTTTAACAGGCCTGACTCTGGCAAATAGATTTAAATTCTGAGCACGGCACAAGATTCACGGTGCTGACTGGAGGAGGGGAGCCCTGCACTGCCTTCGTATTACTGCATCTTTCCTTGATTCTTCTCTTGCAGGCAAGAGCTTGATGCTGTCACGGTCAGAAAAGTGGGGAGAGCTCTGTCTTGCTCATTTAGGTTTAAGTGCTGTGAGCAGAGTGGTGAAAGAGGATGAGAAACCTCCTCGCTTTTATTTCAGGCTTTGCTTAGGGGTATCTCTTTTAGAAAAGCTTCTGTAAAGGAGAAATGTCCCTGAAGAAAGCTGTTCTCTCTCTTTAGAACATTGTGGCCTGGATGAAGGACAAGTCTGAGGTGGAGATTGTAGACCTGGTGCTAAAACTTCGTGAGAAGCTGGTAAGTTTTCCTCCCTTCTTCCTGCACTCATTCCTTTCTGTCTTGTTGCTTAGAAAACTTTGTTCTCGCTCCCTCATTTGGAGAACTGGCAAATGGGACAGTCGTGAAGCTTTAGTGTTTGTGTAGAAAAGGGTTCAAAGTTCTGACTCGTTTCATCTCCCTGAGGCTCGGGTGACAGTTTCCTGCCTGTTGTCTCGCCCCCCGAACTAAAGAGACAACGTGAAGTTTGCTCAGTCAATGGCAAAGCGGAAAGAGGAACTTTGAAGCTATTCTAAAACTCCTCCGTTTCTCTCCTCTCTCTCCCTGTAGGTAAGAGCCAGGTGCCAGCACCTCCCTGTGAAGGAGGAAACTCTGCAGCGGGTGGGCCTGTATATCGAGACCATCATTGGCTCCTTGCCGGAGGATCTCCAGACTGTGCTGCACCACCACTGAGCACGGTGAAGGGACTCTGTTGGAGAAGGAGGGGCCCTCCCACCCTGCTCCGAGCTGTGGGCAGCTGCAGTTGCATTTGGAAAGGAAAGTTCTTCCCCGATCCAGCCAACGTGACCCGATGTGGACCGTGCTCACAACTGTGTATGATTTTGAGTACGTGAGCATGGGGTGGGTCAGAACTGTAGCAGAAATGGGGAACCGTGTGCACTATTCTCTGTCTAGTCCTGCTTTGAGGAGCTGGATTAGGGGACTGTAAATGAGAAACTGTTCCCTGTGTGGCTGTTAGTAGGTCAGAAAGTGGCAGCCAGGCTTCCAGCAGCATGTGATAGGCTGTGCAAAACGTGTGTTGCCCATATATACACATCCATCTTTGTCTAGTGCTTGGGCTCTCAAAATTTCAATGCCGTCATCCTGCCTGGAAGAAGCAGGACCAGCCCTGTGGGGGGGAGTTGTTTTCAGGAGAGCTCCTGATGATAATGAGAGAGATGCTAGTCCCCCATGTACAAATGATGTGAAAAAATTGTCACTGCCCATTCAGCAGCCTGACTCATGCCGGCAAGAGCTTCAGCTGTGATGGGAGTGGGAGGATGAATTGCTGGACGTGGAATGCTGCTGTTTTTTCCCCAAGGCAGAGACAGAGTAGAAGGGGCTGGTGCATCTGCAAGGAACAGAGCTCTCCAGAGATCACGGCTGGGTGATGTGTGAATGGGAATAGCTACTGGAGCTCCACAGAGAGGAGCTGGCCTCCAAATGTAATTTATTCTGCTTGAAAAATCAAGTTTGTGTGCTCTAATAATGTACAAGACAGCTGGAGCTCTGCCTTGGGCAATGAGACATCTAATGTGGTCAGCTCACTTGCCGATAAAACATGTTGGGGAATCTGATTTTTACAGCCTGTGTCAGCCTTGCCAAGTGGGAGCTCACGGAGTGGCCCTCGCGTGGGTGCGAGGGCCCCGCTGTGAGAGGTGCGTGCTCGCCCTGTGCTGGGGTCAGTGGGGAGCAGCACCTCCAGCTCTCACCACAACTTGTTCTTACCACAGCCCAGTTTCCAGCTCGGTCATTCTGCTCCCGTTCACCTCTTGGGAAAGAGAGACACGTGTGTGTGCTTCTAGGATGAATGTAGGAAAGACTTGAGGCTCTGCTACCGGCTTTGGAGGCAGTTGCCCGCTGAGAGAGCAGTCTTTCTGCCCGCTGCCTTGGAAATGGATTTACTGTAACCCCAGGGTTGATTGCTGCTGCTGTAACTGCATTTCACCATCTGCCACTCTGGCCAGGGCCTGAATGTTTGCCTTAAGAATGGTTTTCAGATGGGTCTGGCAGCCTGATGCGCTCCTGTTCTGTAAGAAGCCCCGGAGCGTACCTTCGCACGTGGCAGGAGAGTTCGGCATTTCAGCCGAGACCGGCACAAAGCTGTCGGCAGCGCCCAGAGCTCATGGGGTGGAAGCTGTGCTGTTTCACTAGCAGTCTCTGCCCGTTGCCGCACTGCCTCGGGGCTGGGTCAGTGAGTCTCAGAGGTGGCTGAACCCTTCCTGCGTTTTCCCCTCCAGAGCCAGGCATGGACAGTGCAGGAACAGCGGGAGGCTGCTCGGTTTCCCGCCGCCTCCAGCCTGGAAGCGGCCAAGCGAGGAGACACGGCCATACCTCCCCGTAGCAATGAATTCTGTACAATACTCCTTAGTGGCAGCCCTGCCTGTACAGTGTATATTCTGTATATAGCGTTCGTGTGTGCGTCTGTGCAATAGCTCTGCAGTGACTGTGGTGGACCGAAGCTCTAATGTATAGTAGAAAATACTAGTTTAAAAAAAAAACTTAAGCCAAGCTTGTCTCCTGTTTTTGGGTGTCAGTAGATTTATTTGTTTAGGAATGGGGTTTCTCTGCCGAGGTGCTGTTGAGCTTGGCCGCTCGTGGCCCTCAGCGTGGTGGTTTCTCGGTCTCCATCAGACGTCTGTCCGGGGCTCTCGGTCAGCACGGAGGTTCCCGTCCCCTTTGGCAGACTTCTCCACAGGGTTCACTAAGCCCAGCCCTGCAAAGGGCAGCTCGCAGCCGCCTGCTGCTGTGCGTCCCTCTGCCCTACCCACGGCACGTCCGATGCGCCTGCAAAGCGAAGGCTGCGTGGGGCGGGGGGTCCTGCGGTCAGAAGCCCTGGGACCAGCCGCCCGCCTCAGCCGCTTGGGCAGACAAACCCCCCTGCCGTGGATCTCGGGGTTCAGGTTCACTTCAGGCTGCCGTCTTTTCCCCCTCTTCGTGCCCAGTTGAGTCCTTTTGGCTCTTGTGTGCTGGTTGCCGCTGTTGTGTACGCTGTTTTCTCTCCCTCCCCAGCTCGTCACCACTCCTTCCAGGATGGGTTTGTCCTTGGCTGGTTTTGGTACTCCAGAGACACCGGCACTCCCGGATCCAGCTCTTCACCTCTTTCTACTTGGTTAGTGGCTTTTTGGTTTTTTGTCATCCTGGCCAGCTGCTCTTCCTTGTAACACCCTCTGTAGGGGCTGGTTTGTCGCCTTCCCTTTCACCGGGTTGGAATCGTCGTGGCCCTGCCGCTGCGTGCCCCGATGGTGCCCAACCTGCAGCGTTGGCCGTGGGCCTGCCCCACGCTTCTCCAACGGTGTTTTCACAGAAACGTGGCACTACTGGAGTGATGGGGAGGGTCACCCTTGTCTTCATAGTCTTGTGGTTTGTCTCTCTTCTGCTCCCCCAACCTCCTTACTCTTTTCCAGTCCTTCGTTTCCTCTGGGAATCTCCTGGAGTGGGGTCAGAGGTCGACCCAACTTGTCCTCCCCATCGCTGTGCACCTCCGCCTCTCTGCTCCCCCCACCCGTTTGCTCCCATTTCTACTTGCAGAGCCCGTGCCACCCCTGTAGCCCTAGCAGCGGGTTTGTTCCTATTTCTCCTAGCAAGCCTCGACCTAATTATTTTCTCTCCCAACCACCATGTGGGAGAGGGTCATACCACAAACCCTTCTGGCGCTCACCTGGTACCCACAGGAGGAAGCCGTGGGTGCTCGCAGCCTCGCGGCCTTACGACCTGTGTTACGCCAAAGCAAACACCGGGCCGTACTGTCCAGCACTGATTCATCCCTCACACCCTGCATGGGTGCGCTGTCCCGCCCTGACGCCAAACAAAACGTTCGTCTTCCTTGCTGCGTCTTCTTCTGTACCAATACAGGTCCTACGGCCCCGGGGGCCAGAGGGTGTGCCCGGAGCTGGGTCGGCGCATGAGCACGCACCTTTATCTCGTGCAGCGCTCAGCGGCCACTGGCTCATCTTCCCGCCCTCTTGTAGCTGTCCCTCAACAGCCCAAACGTCCTCCTTCAGGTATTACTCCTCTTGACTATGTATTTTTAGCTTTGCATCCCTCCCGAGGAGGTCAGATCCTATTTCCTGCAAATCACACCCATTATTATCCTTTTCACTTTCCTACCTAGGCTTCTACGCACCACTCATTTTCTCTCTACCCTCCCTCATCTTCTAACAGGCTTTTCCGCTCTGCCCTGTTCGTAAGTCCTGGTTCACGTGCCTGGATTAAGAGCCTGGGAACTTGTCCCTGTCCTCCCCCAGCAACGTCTGCATTGTGCTGCTGGTAATAACCAACTCTTGAATGACTCTCGAGTCCTCACCCCACTCCTCGCCTCCATTTCTGGTGGTGCGGGAGTCCCAGCGATCAGCAAACAGCACGCTGCTGGGTGGCAGACGGGACACTTCCAGAGCCACTGCCGAGTCAGCGCTTCACCACTCCGTGCTCCCACCTCCCCTGTGCGGTAGCTCCCCCGTGGTCCCCGCCGTCACCCCACCGCAGCCCTCGTGGGCTGTCACACCTCTCTGCTCATCGGTACTTGAGCCCATTTCAGCACCATCTCCAGCCTCAGCAGCTTTCGATGGCACTCCTGGCTCTTGCCCTGAGCTATTTTCCAAATGCTCTTTACGTGTCCCTTTGTGCTGGCTGATGGCACGATGAGGGTGAGCGTGGCCCTGCAAACACCCCCGGAGGGTTTATCTTTGCACAGGTGACGGTGCTTGAGCACTCTCAGCCCCAGGAGTAGGTGGAAGTATGAGCAAGCATTTGGGCTGATTTTAACTTCATGGTGGAGAAGCTGGGGCCTGGCAGGAGGCTGTAGGGGCAGAATCGTCCCCAGCCATGGCTCCTTCATCTCCGTTGACGTGGCCTTGGCCAGGAACCTTCCCCCGAGGCAGGAAGGAGGCATGAGCCGCCTGGCTCACCGCCTGTTCCTGTTACTTATCTAACGGCAGCAAAGCCCAGGAGCACCTCAACCGTAACACCTTTATTTGTTAGCACCTTCTCCCGAGCCCTGTGGAGGAATTTGGATTGCTCTCTGGCGGAAAGCGTAACACTGAAACAAGACCAAACAGAATAGAAAGAACCGCCACCTTCCCTGGGATAGTCGCAGTCGATGTTCAGTTGCTGGAACCTCTAGGGATTGCCAAATTGTCTGTGTGCCACCAGCCTCCTCCCACAGCACCTGAATGCTCGTGAGCCTGTAAAGCCCTGCTGCTGCCAACAGCCGAGTCGTTCGTGGTGCAGAACGGGGGCATCCTTCTTCCAGAGAGCTCCTGTCCCGTCTCCGTGGTCCATCTCCTGTGCAGCGACTGCTCGTGGTTTTGCTGTCTGCATGGTGCGGGCAGTGGGAAGTCAGGCTGCCTCCAGCAGCGAGGGGCTATGGGCGGGCTTCCTACCGGGGCAGAGCCACTGCAGCCCCCCCAGTGCTGTCGGAAACCTGCGCAGCACTGCCTCTGCCTTGCTCGAACCTTTCCAGGCACGAAGGGCCAAGTCCAGAGAGATCCTGCCTGGCTACAGACGGGCTGTGGGGAACTGCCGGGGATGTGCGAATCCTGCCGAGGCTTTGGGCAGCCTGGAGGCACCGGGGTGAGGTGGCAGCCTAGGGAACAGCCCCCAGGGAGTCGTAGAAAGTCTTGAGGCCCCAGTGGTGCTGCAGGGAGGATCTCTTGCCCACTGCCTCCTGACGGAAGTTTTGCCTCAGCCAGCCGTAGACCAAACTGTGCAGAAAGCCCTGGAGGGAGACGGTCAGGGCCTGCAAGAGAGAGGGCAGCAGCGAGCGCTGCCTTTACCTGCCCCTGGGCCGCCCTGCGCTGCAGGAGTGCTGCAAACCTCATCGCCCTCTCCACGCCGGAGAGGAACCGCGGGGGATCAGCCCGCATGAGTGCACAGGCAGGGTGACAGAGGGACACAGGAGGTGGCTTTCCTCTTGGTGTGGTCAACTAAAACAAGGCAAACAGCTGGGCAGAGCTAAGGAGTGAAACACCACCAAATCGGGGAAGAGCCCCGGCAGAGCCGGGCTGGGACCAGGGCTGCCACCAGCAAGCCGGGGCCTTTGTCCTGCATCCGCCCCGGGTGGCACCTCTTGGGTGTCACCAGCGCGGGCTGGCAGCACCCGCAGAGCTCGCCCTGCCCGGGGAGGCATTGCTCTGGTCAGCGGCGTGCTCCCCTCCCCTCGCCAGCACCCGCAGAGCTCGCCCTGCCCGGGGAGGCATTGCTCTGGTCAGCGGCGTGCTCCCGCTCCCCTCGCCCAGCTCCCGTAGCCCTGCCGCTGCGGCACGGGGGCAGCACAGCTCTCACAGCCCCACCGTCCCAGCGGGGGCCCCCCCACCCCATCACCACTCACACGTCTGACGGGGACAAATGTCTGAGCTCTGGAGCCCAGGAAACGGGTTTTTACTTACTGTAGCAACATAGAGGACAAAGACTGAGGCAGGTTTGATGCTGGTGAAGGAGAGGAGGGTGAGGAGGAAGGCTGTGGATGGAAGACAAAAAGACACTCCTTTGTCTCCCTCTCTCTGATAATGCTTCATCTGGGGTTTCCCTCTCCAAGTGGCAAAGGCCCTTCCCCTGTCACAGCCTATTTCCCGTGGCACAGGGGCCTACGTAGGACAAGCACATATGTGTACGAGGTCCTTCCCAACGCGCTGCCCAAGGACCTTGGGCACCTCATTGCCACAGGTTTCTGTAAGGCTGAAAGCATAAATGGGCCCCCAAAGGGGGATATTGCTAAAAAGCAGGTCCATCAAACACGA